AAAAGTTAAATCTTCTGCTATGTGTCACATTCGTATTATCTGCTAGTGGTCTTTATTTGATTGAATACTGTTCAAAGCTTGAAATCATCATCCAGGTGGTATGAATAGGTAAAGGATAATCTCTCTGAGGGTTGGAACTGTGTCCTCTTAGTTCAGAGGAAGAAAGAGACCTTCCCCTTTTTTTTTACTTTTTAAATAAATCTTAAAAAATTTTGGAACAGATTTAGATTTATAGACAGTCACAAAGTTAGTACATAGAGTTCCCGTGTGCCCTTCGCTCAGATTCCCTTATTAACATCTTTAGTGTAGTACATTTGTCCCAGTTAGTGAACCAATATTGATAGTCCATACTTTTACTCATATTTCCTGAGTTTTTGTCTCCCATCCTTTTTCAGTTCCAGATCCCATCCAGGATATTACATTACAGTGAATCCACATCTCCTTAGGCTTTTCTAGATTGAGACAGTTTCCCCTGTAGTTTTTATACATCTGTTAACTTCTGGGTCCTGTGTTAGTAACCACTTTTCATGTATGTCTCATATAATCTTCACAGTAACTGAGAGAAGTGGAATTAGCTCTGCTTTGCACCAGAAGAGTTAGGCAGTTTGCCCAAGATTGCATTATTTGTAAATGATGGAGCCAAGAATAGAACCTAGTTCTCTGGGATTCTGAAACCCACACTCTTGTCTTTCTCTGTTCACAGAGCCTTTCTCTCTCACTGTGCCTGCTGCATTAACACAAGTTTCCACGTCTAAACAGTATTCAGTTAACCCAGGGTTCCTGAACTCCTGTTGACATTTTCTTTGCTGTGAGGAAGGCCTGGACATCTAAGCAGCATCCCTGGCCCCTCTACCCACTAAACGCCAGCAGTGCTCCCCCCTCCTCAGCTTGTAACAACTAAAAATGGCACCAGACATTGCCAGTGGTTCGGGGGGTGGGGAGTAGAATCACCCACTAAGAACCACTGTATGAACCCTTCTTTAAAATATTTTACTAGTTGGCAATAATTTATAATTAACAAGTATTGAATAATTTGCTTTTTAATTTTTTTTTTAATGGAGGTACAGGGCATTGAACCCAGGACCTCATGCGTGCTAAGCACACACTCTACCACGGGAGCTATACCCCCTCCCCCTTAGACTCTTTGATCTTTGGTCATGGTGCTTTTAGAACATGCTTGACCAAATGTAAACGAGGAACCATCAAGATGTAGATAATGATGAATTTTAAAGAATTATTCAGCTCATATGTAGGAGAAGTTTGAGGACAAGCTAAAGGTTAAGTTCTGATTGTTAGACTTAAAAAGCATTTATTTTATACTTCCAGTCTCTTGGATCCTGTTTAAAAGTCACAATAATTCATCTTACTGGACCATGGTCAGCCATACCAATGTTCATTTCAGCTCTTAGAGGATGATAAAAATAAGTCTCAAGCCAGCATGTGGGGGATCTGTGTTTAACTGGTGAAGTCAGCATTAAAAAAACAGGTTATCCTGGTGTGGGTTTTGGCACATTTACTCGCCAAGTCCAAGGTATATTGTGTATTAAAGTATCTGTATGAACATGAGCTAGTTTGGGTCTGTGGGTGGTGGTGCTTGAGGGGAAATATCCCAGGATGCAATGGTTGGGAGTTAATGGTCAGTAAGAACAGAGGGGACCTGAAAGGGCTGAACTGTATCATGCCCGGAGGACTCTGGAAACATTGTGTGGCTCACAGGTGCCTACTCTTCTGCTCTAACCTGTTCTTTAATCTTTCATACTGTGTTATCCAATATGCAAGACTTCCTGATTGCCCATATTTAAACAGCAAGTTAATATGGGGAAATATATTCTTTATTTCTTAATTCCCCTGTGAAGATCAGCCTTTTCCACATCACTGAGACTCTCAACCCATCAGTGATCTTACTGATCTCAAATTAGTAAGTGACTCAGCCTTATCTTTTAGGATTTGTATGCTAGATGACTTGTTGCTCAACTGTTACGATTTATGTGTTTCATCTTTAATATTATTACTAGCCCAGAAGTCTGTTTCATTGGTGCTTAATAGGCAGTCTGAGCACTACAGATTTGAATCTTGCTTATTTTCCTTTCTTATGTACTGTGGATAGTATATGTTGTAGAATTTATGATAGCCTGTATTATTTTAGGAGTAATGACTACTGAATGTTTTTAAATGGCTTGATTAAGGGTACACAGATCTTAGGGGTTTTTCTGTTTGTTCCTTTAATCTTGTTGACTCACTTGAAGGGCTTTGACGTAATCTGTCTTCAGTGAAAGATTAATGCTTAAACTATCTAGTGGCTTAGTTATAATATATTTAAGTACTAGAAAAAGCTGGTATGTATTTACTTACTATCTGTAAAACTGAGGGCAAGTTTGCTTAATTCACTGAACCTCAATTTCTTCAAAATAGGATTATTAACAACTATTTCAGGATTTTATTTCAGAAGTTTATCAGGATTAAATGGGAGAAGGCAGAGCTTGTCGTATTTTAAGTACTCAAATATTAACTATTATTAATAATATAATGAAGATTTGAAAAAAAAAGACTAAAGAATAGACATTAAGTTTATTTAAAGCTCATCTATAGTCTCTGGTATGTTAGGAAGTAAGAAAATTAAGTGTTAATCCTCCTTTATCTTGTCATTGTGGCTGGGAACAGTATAGCTACTTCTGAGTTTAGAACACCTGGAATGACCTGGATGTATTTTGAGGTTCCATCAAATGCCTGATTCTGGCTCTATTCAGTGGACTAAATATAGTACCAGTAGTAAATCTAGTTTCAGCTGGATTTATCTAGTTAATTCTCCATAATTCAATTTTTAAAACTATTCACATATTTGGAAAACTAGCATCAATTACTTCTTTCTTTGTTTAGTAATAGATTATAGAGTGTGTGGAATTTTAAAATATAATTTTGATAATTAAAAACAATCTTGCTGATTAAAGTAACATTATATTAATGGGTAGATGGTAAAATTACCCATCTACTTTTGATATTGGAAATATACAAACAAGCAGTAAAGGGTTTTCTGTGTATATATATATATATTGGTAATTTTTATAGTAGCTACAAAATTACACGGTTAGTGAATACACTGTGGTTCACTACACTCCCTGTATTTACTGCAACACAGAAGATGAATTCCAAATGACCTGCTTAATATTTATGATTCTAGTGCATTGAGTGGAGTCTTAATGTCCTTCAGAAACTTACCTTTGCTTTCATCTTCCACATTTATTTTTATCTAAAAAAGGCAGGAAAGTAATTTCAGGTGGCAGTTTCTTTAATTATAATTCCCTGTATTCCTTACTGTTGTGCTGATGCATACTGTTTTCCTTTTTAGATTATCTTAAGGGAAGTAATCCGTTTTCAACTTCTCTGCCAAAATATAAAAATAAAAGATGTTATGTACTTAACAAAAAGGGGGGCTTAAAAATTAAAACCACTGAATATTCAGAGGATCATTAAAAAGTGTAACACATAAAAAGGCTTACCCTGTTTACATAAAAAGAGAGAGCAGGCCAGCTAGCCACCAAGCTGTTGATTAGCTCGACTTAGTTCCATTAGCTTGACTTGGTTCCATCAGCTTACTAGAACTTAAAATCTATTTTCTTTCTTTATTTCTTCTTTTTTTTTTTTGAGGGGGGAGGTAATTAGGTTTATTTATTTATTTATTAATATTTTTTAGAGGAGGTACTGGGGATTGAACTCAGGATCTCATGCATGCTAAGCATGTGCTCTAGCACTTGAGCTACACCCTCCCCCCTCCTATTTTCTTTTGTTTCCCCTTTTCTCCTTTGTATTTGTGCCAAATATCAATTTAGTAAAGTGAGGGAAAATACGATACATCTTTGAAAGCATGTTTTCTTTTCTGTTTGGCTAAAATCTTGCTTTATTTCTTTGGTTTTCCTAGCTTTGCAATAGGTTATAAGGTCCTATTGGACAGGAACCAAACTATTAGTTTACCCTGCTTACAAAGTACCTAACTCATGAGATTGCATAATAGGAAGATTTAAAAATATTAGTTTATTCCAACAAGCATTGTGTGTGTATATATCTATAACTATACATCTATCTGTCTATCTGACTGATAAATGCTTTGAAATCATATAGACCATGAACCAAATCCCAGTACCACCTCTTATAATATATCATCTGGAAGTTACATTTAACCTCTGGATCCATTTTCCATCTCTTAAATAGAGGTAATGTCTACTTCATAGGGTTGCTATGAAGATTAGATCATTTATGGAAGGCACTTAATAGAATTCCTTGCACATAATTGGTAACTGCCACAAGATCCTGCTTGATCTGCACTCCCCCAACCCCCGACTCCAAACCCCATCTTCACTCTGATCTCACTTCCTGCTGTTCTCTCCCTCATGGTGGCCTCCTTCCTGTTCTCTAGTAGAGCATACCCCCTCCTCAGAGACTTAGCTCTTTCTGTTTTCTCTGCTCTTTCCCCAGATGACTGCACAGCTTGCCCACCTGCTCTTACTCAGGCTTGTCCTCAGAGATGACCTTGTCAGAGAGGTCTTTCCTGACATCCCATCTAAAATAGCATTCTCTCCTTACCTGGCTTTATATTTTTTTTCTTAACACTGATAATACATATTATCTGGACCTTCTCACAAAGTGTCAGTCCGTAAGAGCGGGACTTTATTTTGCCCCCTGTTGTATCCTAGCACATGGAACAGTGTTTAGCATATAATAGGCATGGGGGAGGGTATAGCTCAGTGGTAGAGCACATGCTTAGCATAGACAAGGTCCTGGGTTCAATCCCCAGTACCTCCTCTTAAAGAAAGAAACCTAGCATATAGTAAGCACTAAATTTTCTGACGAATTGCTACTAATAATTTTGTATTTCAATAACAAGCTGCCCTCATAATTGTTCCTTATTAATAACTTTGGAGAATGCCTCTTTTTGCTTAAGGATTGCTTAGACCTTATAACAAATAAGCAAGGTGACTCTGATTTTTTTTTTTTCCCATTCCAGGTTTCAGTGTAGCCCAGAAGCCATTTGGAGCCACATATGTGTGGAGCAGCATTATAAACACTCTTCAAACACAAGTGGAGGTGAAAAAACGAAGGCACCATTTAAAAAGACACAGTGACTGTTTTGTTGGTTCAGAAGCTGTAGATGTCATTTTTTCTCACCTAATTCAGAATAAATATTTTGGTGATACAGATATTCCTCGGGCCAAAGTGGTGAGAGTGTGTCAAGCACTTATGGACTACAAAGTGTTTGAAGCAGTTTCAACCAAAGTCTTTGGAAAAGACAAAAAACCTACATTTGAAGATAGTAGTTGCAGCCTTTACAGATTCACAAAGGTGCATAACCAAAACAGTCAACTAGGCAAAGAGAACAAACGATATTCACCTTCCAGGTTAGTATATAATGTTAGAATATCAGGGGGATATTGGCAGGATTTTTGTCTACATTTTAATGAGATGCTGACTATCTTTGTTATTTTTGAAACAGTAAATCAAGCTAAAATCTGAGTCTGTGGGTAAATTTGATAAAGCAGAGTGAATTTTTTTTAATATCTCCTAGAATTCTTGTCTGTTTATATATTTAGCAAAAACAATCAAACTTTGCCTTTGTGCTTCAGGTTACAAGCATAGTATAAAAAATGTTACAGGTTAAAATTACAGTATAAGAAATATTAGAGAGTTTATATGCAAAGTGACGTGAGAGCAGAAGAGGTGAAGGCAAGCAGGTAGATTGTCATTAGAATCCAGAAAATAACAGATGTGAAGGAGTGGGAGTCAGAATGCTTAGTTTCATAGCACATTTTAAGGAATTTGCACTTGATCACACAGATGTTGGGGAGGCCACAGAAAGCCTTTAAACATGATGAGATTGTACTTTAGAAAGGTCTTCCTGGCAGCTATATGGACAGCCTAATGGGGAGAGCTAGGCAGGAAGCTATTGCAGTATTGCTGTCTGCAGATGAGGGTGAGGTAGGCAGCAGTGGGGAAGTGGGAATCATTTAAAGGGAGGCTGGGGGACAGAATTGTAGGACCCAGTGATTAAAGTGGATGTAGGTGTTAAGTGCATAATTAACTTAGTTATTTGTTGTGAAATAAAACAACTTTTCCTTTTATTTCCCTCAGCTAAACTGGTTAGAGGTGACCATGTGATTGAAGCTCTTATAATTCACATCTGACCCAAAGTCAGAGTTTTACACTCAAAAGTTTTTTAATTCCGTATTTGAATCATGATAAAATTTACCTCCCTATATAGGAAGGAAATACAAGGATAAGGTATGGCACAATCAGTACTTTGCAAATGTAGGTCCACGTGCTTTATCTGAACAGATGTATTTGTGAATTTGGAACTTTGGAGGTTTTAGAAAGGTGATTATATATATATTAGATAACACTCCTAGAGGGATCTGAGACAGCATCTGGTAATCAAACATGTTAACATTTCTGCAGTGAACAAAATATTCATACTAACTGGGATAAATAAAGGCTATGTTAGTCTTTATAGACAGGTTTTGCCACTGTATGAGTTCTAATAAACTTTAAATTCTTGAAAGAATTGTGGATAAAGGAGTGTAGATCTGTATTTGGAAAATGATGAGCACTGTCTACCAAAGAATGCCCCAGAAATAGTTAACTAATAAAGACAGTAAGCATAATGAAGTTTGATGACATTTGATTATATCTTAAAATGGGAGACTAAAATTTTAGTCATTGAATTACTTAAATCTAAGTGCTCAAAGGAGAATTTATTGAGAGTGTGTATATTCAGATTTGAGAAAGAAGGTGGCATGCTTTTGTATTTTATTCTACTCTTATAATTTGCATTTGTATTTTTGTTCTGAAATGTATAAACTTTCTAGAAACTCTTAGCTCTCAGATACAAAAATATTTCTGTGAGCTCACTAATAAACATTAATTTATGAAGTAAATTCATTTTAGGTACACAGATACATTATTTAAGTCATCTGATATCCAATCGGCAAGTTTAGAGGACTTGTGGGAAAATCTGAGTTTAAAGCCTGCTGCCTCCCCTCATGTAAATCTCTCTGCCTCCTTGTCACCACAAGGTAAGCTAAAGATGATACGAGGAAGAAAAAAAAGACTAACTTCAAATAAACTTATTTAAAATTTTTCAGTCTTAACCTTTATGAGAATTTAAATATTCAAAGCACAAAGAAAGAGCACACTGTGTATTAAAGCTGTTTATATTAAGTTTTAACAGAGGTCTATTATCTTTAACAAATAGATCAGTGTTGCAATTCTGGAACACTGACTTTTGTCCTATCAGCTGGCAGAGATTCAAACCTGAAATGTTTTGCATGCAGATTTTTAAAAATGTATTTAAAATCTGCTCTCAGGTATTTCTTTCCCTAAGATTTTATTAGGTTAAATAAAAATTTGAAAATTATGTTAAAACATTAACAGGATTCTTATGTTTTTCCTTGTCTGTGGCAGTGGAATGTGATTTAAATGACTGACTTCCACTTCCCCTCATCCTAGTTGTGGAAACCCTGAGTGGAATAATCTGCAGCCAATAGTTTCAAACTAGCTTTGACACTGAATGAATCATTCTTTCTTCCAAGGTCCTTATTAACATGTTATATGACTTGATCTCTTATCAAGCCATATTGCTTTTTACAGTACAAGAATGAAAAGAATTTCTGTCGTCCAAAGTCTGTTCTCCTACACTTTAAACAAATCTTGAATTGTTTTACTTTGTTATAAGAAACCACTTCATAAAGTTGACTCTTTTTCTTTCTTTCATTTTTTTTCTCTTTTTGTACCACAAACTTACTAGCTTAGACCTGCCTAGGCAGATACTGTGGTGAGCATGTAGTAACTATTAATTGTTACTTTTCCCCTTGTCATTTTCCTTGTGCAGTTATTAATGAAGTATGGCAAGAAGAAACAATTGGGCGTCTGCTACAACTTATAGACCTTCCACTCCTGGACTCCCTACTCAATCGGCAAGAGGTCAGACCTAAAGTTCCTCAGCCTAAGAGGCAGCCTGACTTGGTCAACAACGGGAACTATCTGGATCGAGGGATTCTCAAGGCTTACAGTGAATCTCAGTAGGTGGAAATACATGTAATAATTTGAGTGTGTTTGCAGGAAGGTAGTAGTTTTAAGATAATCTTTTGAATTCTTCCGTCCATACACAATCAGATATGCTTGGTTAGTTGATATTATCAGTTTTGGGAAAAGTAAAGAACAAAATTACCTTGGTCAAAATTAGAAAACAAGATTTTTAAATGTCATTTTTTTTCATATTCTTTTCTGTTTCACATACACCTTACTTGCATGTCAAGTGAAGAAAATGATTACACTCCATCTTCTTATCTTTGCTGAAATGTAGGGCTGTCTGTTCTTTTAGAGCTGCCTCTGGTTTTCCAAGGGACCTGGAACAAAATGAAAGGATTTGGCAAATTCTTAGACTCCTTTGACTATAGACACTTCTATACTCCTCTAGACTGCCTGTTAAATATGTATTTTTTAATTAACTAGTTTTATTAAAGAAATATAAAGAAAATAATACTTGCTCTCACCTTTGACCTCCGTCCTTCTGAATATAAATTTGAAGGCTTAATTTTCAGGTGCTAAGGGAATTATGATTTTATTTTTCCTTAAGGAAGAGTTCTATATTCCTTATAACATTGTAACTCTTCCCCTAAGTAAAATTATTAAAAGTTAAAATCATGTATTTTCTACCTTATTTAATATTTTAAGTATTTTGCCTTAGCAGATAGTGTTCTAGTACAGTTAGGAAGATGGAAATGTTTGAAAGGAATACAACTTACATTTTTAGCACTTCACCAGTTTTACATTCTAATGAACTATTAATAAATAGTTGAATGTCAAAAGGTCACTTAAAACTTTATGTGAAAAAATTAACCCCAGCATACTAGTTATTGAATTCTGTATATAAATAGGAAGTTGATTATTCTACAGGAATTTACATTACATTTCTATAATCTAAAGTAATATGTGAAAACAGTTTATAATTACTCTAAGTACAGAATCAGAAATTGTCCTTGCAGATCATCTGTCCACATCTTATGATGAAGCTGATGACTAGACCTTCCCAAGTCCCCAGCAGTGGGGTTTAAAACAAACAAAAAACTATGTATTACCAAATTGAATATTAAAAGTTAGTCATTCTATTTCTTAGAATGTAGCAGTTTTCTAAAGTTACCTACCTGGCATTTTATTAGAAATGGTAATTAATATATAATTATTTTGAAGTCCTACCTTATCTCCCTTTATTCTCTTCTAGCCAAAGTCAGAGATGATAGATCATACAGAGTTCTGAAGTAGTAACACTGTATTAGCAAAATGCTAGTCTAAAGTCAAATCTGGGATCCAGTCCTGCCTGGGACTCTAGACAAGTAACCTAGAGTTTCTGGACCTCCATAGTAAATTTAAGGAGTAGAGTTTGAATTTTAATATTCTTTTCAGCACTGTATTATAGCAGATAGCTTTCTGTTTTCTCTTTAAAAAAAAAAAAAGAAAAGGAAGACATATATTAGACCTAACTTTTTATCTGTGATATATGATCTAGCTATATACTAAAAGGAATTATTTGTATCTTTATCTCGGTTTATAGAGATTTATCCTGGTAGCAAACTTGAAATAGCTAGGAAATTAGGTACTGTGTGTGTATTTGTTATTCCGTTTTTTTTTTTTTAATCTTTTTTTTCACCTGTAGGGAAGATGAGTGGCTCTCTTCAGCAATTGACTGCTTGGAATACCTTCCAGACCAGATGGTTGTGGACATAAGCAGAAACTTTCCTGAGCAACCAGATAGAATAGACTTAGTCAAAGAACTTCTGTTTGATGCCATTGGCAGACATTACAGTAGTAGGGAACCTCTGTTAAATCACTTATCTGATGTTCATAATGGAATTGCAGAACTCTTAGGTAAGTAAGATCTTACTGGATACTAGAATTTCTGTTTTGGAGGAAACAAGAAAAAGTTAACTTGTCCTCATAATTAACCAAAATGGTACTGCTTCAAGTTGGGAGTGGATCTGGATTAATCCGTGGAAAGTATGTCTATTCTAAAACTTCTAGGGCTCACTTGGAAAGAGGCTGTAATAAGCTCTGAAGTTATGTAGGGACTTCTGGTTGCCACAGGAGAATGCTGCCCTCATTCACTGGAAGCTTAATAAGCATAGAATAGCAGTTTTCTCTTTTTCAGCAAATATTACCAGCGCTATCACCATTCCCCCTTCATTCTCTACAAGATAGCAGACACTCTGCTTTGTACCAGTGAGCCAGACTCTTCCACATGGTTTGTTGAAAACAAACTGGAGGTTTCAGAAAATCCTTTCTATTTTTCTCAGGTAGAGTTGGATATATATAAGTACTGTACACATAGGCACCCTTGAAATGTATTGAATTATTGAAAAACATAGGCTGGAAATTTATTTACAAAGCCAAGAGTTAGATTTAACATCTTAAGATTTGTATATGACAAGGACTTAGAGCTTAGTTGCCAGTTTGACTATAGGCTTTCATGATGGTATTGGTCATTCATTATAATTCCTAGTCTTTTTGTTTTGTTTTGCTTTTGAGCATAGTTTAGGATGAGTTTACTGATTAGCTTAAGCTTTAACTTGAATTTTGTTCCCTCTACTACAGTCGTGTTTGGTCAAAATTAAAAGCATTTTTTCTTTTGGCTAAAGTGAATGGGAAGACTGAAATAGCATTAGAAGCTACTCAGCTCTTTCTAAAGCTTCTGGATTCCCAAAATAGAGAGGAATTTAGAAGACTGCTGTATTTCATGGCTGTTGCAGCACATCCTTCTGAATTTAAATTACAGAAAGAAGTAAGTCTTTTGTCTAAATGTTAATTGTATTCAGTATCCCTAATACTTATCAGATGCATGTGTTAACATTATTCCATTGTCAGCATCAAGTATGCTGAAATGGATAATAGCTATTAATAGTTAACATTGCCTTTTATTTGACACTTATTCTTAAAAATATGTACTATTGGGTGTGTTTTGTTTTATAGAGTGACAACCGAATGGTTGTGAAAAGGATATTCTCGAAAGCTATTGTTGACAATAAAAATTTATCCAAAGGCAAAACTGATCTTCTGGTACTCTTTTTAATGGATCATCAAAAAGATGTTTTTAAGGTAAAACTCTGAAAGTAGTTGAGTATATGTAATAGATCACTGGATTAAAGGGCATTTGAATAATGTTCCATTCCTTTTTTTTTTTTTTTTTTAAGATTCCTGGAACTCTACATAAAATTGTCAGTGTTAAGCTCATGGACATTCAGAAGGGAAAAGATCCAAATAGAGACACGGGTAATCTGAGAAATATTACTTCTCACAAATATAAATTTCTACTGTTTATTTGAAAGTGTTTTGCTGTAGTACTTGCACTTTAATTTCAACTGGACTCTAAACGAGCTCCTCAGAGTTATCCAGACTTAGCAGAGAGCTTTCTTCTGTCAAAAAGCAACTTGACAGAGAAAGTCAGCAGTGCTTAGCATCTTTACATGCATTTTGCAAAATGGGGAAAAATATGTAAATATACAAATGTTGGTTGATTTTTCTAGTTAAATCTGAGGAATAGATTCATTAACTCAGCTTTTTTACTTTTAATCTTTAAGGATATTTTTATTGCCAGAGAATTGATCAAAGTGATTATTCTGACCATACAAAGATGACGACCAAGGATGAACTACTGAATTTACTAAAAAATATTGATGAGGATTCAAAACTGTCTGCCAAAGAGAAGAAAAAATTGCTAGGGCAGTTCTATAAGTGTCACCCAAACATCTTTATTGAATATTTTGGGGACTGAGTTTCTAATGTCTGTATATAACTTGTGTATTTTAAGAGTAAATTATGTATCCTAAAGATCCAATCACATTGTAATACTGAATGTTGTTCCAAATATGAAAATGTACTTAATAAAACTTTTTTTTATAATCTTTTGTGTCTGAAACTGAGTATCAGATGGTGTATTGCTGTTAAGTATTGACCTCTTTTAGGTGAGTTGATTTATAATTATTGTGCACAATAATTTATAGAACATTATAGGAATTTAAATGATATGACGTTGTTTATATTAAAAAGAATTAAACAGTAAGGAAGTCTGTAACTACAAGTTAATAGGAGTGCAGTTTGTACCTTGGAAAGTATCCTTAAAGATGTAAGATAGAAACTTAGGCTATGATAAAGTAAATTTGCCAATTACCATAAACTGTAGATGAGTCAGAAATAGAACTGTCCTAATGCATTTGAAAATTTCAACATCTCTTAAAGTTATTGTGGAAAATGTAAAATATATATAAATATGGGAAAAATAGAATAATGAACTGTCATGTACTCATCATCCAGTTTCAACAGTTGTCAACTCATGGCCAATCTTATCTATTCTGTGCTCACACCTCAGCAAATTTCAGATATCCTGTCACTTCATGTATAAAATTTCAGTATGTATGGCTAAAAGACAAAGACATTCAAAACATAACCACAGTATCATTATCACACACACAAAGCCACAATTCTTGAATATCATCAAAAAAGCAGTCAGTATCGACATTTTATGATCTCATATGATTTTGACAGTTTATTCTCATAGGGCTCCAAACAGTTCATAAGCTGTAATTGGTTAATGAGCTTTTTAAATCTTTTACTCCATAGATTTTTCTCTATCTGTCCTCCCTTCTCTCTCTCTGTCACTGTCACTTTGTCATTGAATAAACCTGGTCAGCTGTTCTTGAGTTTCCCTCAGTCTGGATTTAGCTGACTGCAAGCCTGTACTATATCACGTTCCTCTTCATTTCTTGTAAATTAGTCATTAGAGCTAAAGTCTTCAACAACTTTTTATCCAAGTTAATGATTATTTTGAAACTACTACACTGTCAAGATATATTCAGAAAATAGACGTGCAATATAACACAATTATAGTACAATTTTAAATCGTACATCCTTATAATAATAAAACCTAAAGATTAACAGGCTGAATTTTAAACTTCAGACTTTTAACGAAAGGTAGGGAAAACTAAAATGAGGTACCAATATGCTAGCATGTCAATCTTTTATTTTCTAAGATAGAACTGATACTGACCAGTCTTCAAATGGGAGAAAGTTGAGGACTCATATCTATAGTGTATCTATAATACTAATTCTTCTAATAAAGCAGGGAATAACTCTTGTCAGGTGGGTTTTTTTGTGGTGTGTATTTTGCTTTTTTGCATAGGAATTTAGGGAAGGCAGCTCTGTTTACAATGAGGCAAAAGAGAAGATACATCATGATTTAAGCGTGAGGATGTTTTTAGAAACAAACTACTGAAAGTGTGGTGAGAGCATAGTTGGTAGAACAACTATATGTACTTGATTTGCAGCCTTTATTTTGCACATAATGGAATAGTGTGATTATTTGGCAACAAAACTGCCTAGTTATATGCAGCACTCTACTAGAATGATAACCTCATGGAAAACCTGGTTAAAACCACAGTTTACCTTGAACATCATAAATTTTTAAGAAAAATTGATCATGTTTATGACAGGCTTTAGCAAATTTTTTTTTCAAAGTTTTAAACTATAGGTCTGATGCTACCTACCCTAAGTGCCTTGGACAACACTCTTGTATCACGAGAACTGTCAATCATCACTTGCTGTTTGCCCTCATTCAGTCATCCCTGATGCCCTCCTGGGGACCCATCTCCACTTATACACCTGATGCCTAGGTGACTGAGCATTGCCACCATTCTGGCTGAGTAGCCCAGGTCTAAGCACTGATCCAAGGACAGCCTAGCCGGAGGCTCCCGAAACTGACTTCACAAAATTAGCTTGGCCAATCAAATTTGATATAGAAAAATCTAAATTATGAAGGAGCAACACCTAAGAAAATAGAGAAGCTTGTCTCTAGTATAGAGAAGTGAAGAGACTGCACCCAAGAAGTAGAGACGTGATGCGAGATCCTCTGTGTTCTGGGAAGATGACAGAGTAGTACTAATCTCTAGAGCGGCAGCCAGCCTTCTTCCAAACCCTAGGTAGCAGGGCAGTGAACTCCTTTACCTAGAGGTAATTTGAGTTTCCAGTTCTCTTACCCTTAAAGCAAACATGTCAATGGTTTTAATATTTGAAGGAAACAATTCAAAATATATCAAAAGATTACAAGTAAGCTATTCGAAATCAAATCGGTGGTTTTGGTGGTGGTAACAGCTCCTCTCCACATGTGAAAATTGTTT